TGGTCGCTAAGTCGTGTCAGATTCTTTGCGGCTCCATGGGCTGCAGCACGCCAGGCTCCCCTGTCCTTCACTAACTCCTGGAGTTTCCTCAAATTCATGTCTATTGAATTGATGATGCTATCTAATCATCTCATCCTCTGTCGTCCCCCTCTCCTCCCGCCCCCAGTCTTTCCCAGCCTCAGGGTCTTTTCCAATGAGTCAGCCCTTCACATCAGGTGGCCAAAGTATTGAACTTAAAGCTTCAGCATCAGTCCTTCCAGGGAGGAGAGGGTCTCTGAGCAAATTCAGGCTGGAGGAGAGCCGCGCGGCAGGAGTGCTGCTCACGCAAATGTCTGGGGCTTGACGGCTCTGCCTCCCCACCCCCAGCACGGTCTCTTTTCACCGAGGGGTCCCATCAGGCCTCTGTTCCCCAGCCCAGGAGTCTGAGCCTCGCAGGGGGCTCCTGCTAGCTTTAGAAGCAGTTCGTTCCTCTGTGGATCACCCGGGTGCTGGAAAGATGGGCCCTGGGCAAGCCCTGGTGATTCCCGAGTGGTCGCCCAGCTGAGCCGAGCAGGGAAGGACCTTGCTCCCAGCAGGACCTCACACAGGGTCCTGCTCCGGCTGCTTATTGTCTGCCGCTGCCCGGGAGGTACGGGACCAGACCAGCTCCTGTTCCACCCTTCAGTTCTTTTGCATATACACCCAGACGTGGGATTGCTGGACATATGGCAGTTCTATTTTTAGTTTTTCGAGGAATCACATACTGTTTTTCCTAACAGTTGCACCGTTTTGCATTCCCCCAGCTGCGCCCAAGGGTTCCAATTCCTTCATATTCCTGCCAACACTGATTATTTTCTGTTTTCTTTGAAATGCTAATGGCTTAGAAGTCATATCTCATTGTGGTTTTGGTTGACATTTCTCTAATGTTTCGTGACATTGACCATCTTTTCATATGCTTGTTGGCCATTTGTAGATCTTTGGTAAAATGTCTATTCAAGTTCTTAATTCATTTCTTAATCAGGTTGTTTTGTTTTTGTTGAATTGTAGGTGTTCTTTATATATTCTGGATGTTAACCCCTTATCAGATACAGGACTTTTGAGTGTTTTCTCCAATTCTGCAGGTTGACTTCTCACTGTGGGTTGCATCCTCTGAAGCACAGAAGCTTTTACATTTGCTGGAGTCCTGTTTAGCTCATTTTGCTCTTTGTTGCCTTTGCCTCTGGTATCACATCTGGGAAATCATTGCCAAGTCAAGAGTCATGAAACTTTCCTCTGTATTGTCTTCTAGGGCTTTCACAGTCTGCAGGCTCGCATTTGGGCTTTAACTCGGTTTGAGTTAACACGCGTGTATGGTGTATGTGGTAGAAGAGAAGGTTCCGTTTGCCGATCACTGTCCTTTCCCCATGGGACAGTCATGGCATGCAGGCTTGTGTGCACCCTCAGTCCTGTCAACTCTTTGTGGCCCCTTGGACTGTAGCCTGCCAGGCTCCAATGTCCATGGGATTTTCCCAGGCCAGAATAGTGGATTGGGCCACTATTTCTTCCTCCAAGGGATTTTCCCCACTCGGGGACTGAAACTCCGTTTCCTGCATTGGCAGGCAGACTCTACCACTGAGCTGCCGGGGAAGTCCCAATGGTCTTGGATCCCTTGTTAAAGGTCACTAGGTATTTACATGAGGGTTTATTTCTAGGCTCTCTATTCTATTCCATTTGTCTGTTTGATTTCATGCCAGTAGCACTGTTTTGATTGTGGCAGCTTTGTAATAAGTTTTGAAATGAGGAAGTGAGTCTTCTGCCTTGTTCTTTTCTGAGATTGTTTGGCTATTCGAGGTCACTCATGTAACTGTTAGGGTGAAATTTTCTATTTCTGCAAAAAAAAAAAAAACCCCCACTGGATTTTGATATAGATTGTATTGAATCTGTAGATCACTTTGGGGAATATTGGTATCTTGGTGATATTCAGTCTTCCAACCCACAAACAGAAGAGCTGTCTTTCCTTTTGTGTCTTTCGTTTCTTTTGGCAGTGTTTTGTAGTTCTCAGCGTGCCGATCACTCAGTCTTTCACCTCCATGGTTGGGTTTATTCCTAAGTATTTTATTCCTTTTGGTGTGACTGTAAATGGAATTTTTTCTGATTTCCTTTTCAGGTGGTCTATTGTTAGAGTATAAAAATGCAGCTGATTTTTGAGTGTTGATTTTGTATCCTGCAACCTTGCTGACTTGGTTTGTTGTTTCTAACAGTATCAGGGGAGTCCTGAGGGTCACAAAAGGTTTAAACAAAACCTAGTTTCAGGCTTTTCCTATTGACCTTCTGCATCTCTGTGGCCCCTTCCACTCTCCATGGTTCCCAGAACAGGGTGGGGCTATTTTGCAGAGGGTTTGGGACTCGCTTTTAAAGCTGATCCAAGCTGATGCTGACTGGCAGATGGCGGTACCAGGCACCTGCCTTCCATGAGCTTGATGCTCACCCCGTTTATCAGATGTGGGCACTGGGGCTGGGGGAGGCCGGCCCATGGGTCTGGCTGACTCTGAGCCCAAGTTCCAGATGCGCTCGCTCGTTCTTGGCCTGTCCCTTCGGTCTGTGACCCTCTCAGAAGACCTCAGGGCTCGCCTAAATCCACAGCTACAGTAGAGAAAAATGCAAGACGTCTCGAGAACCAGTGATGCTGGCAACTTAGAAAGTCACTAGGAATCCCAAAGGCCTTCCCCTCGCTTTGCCGGAGAGCAGAGCTTTGGCCCTCTGCACCTGTCTGCCCGCTCCGTCCAGGAAGTATTTATTCAGCCCCCTGAGAGCTGGGCTTGCCCACAGGGCTGTAATGGAGAGCATGCCGGCCGGCCTCCCAGCCTCATTGGATTCCTGGGAGCTGGGGAAAGGGCCAGGTCGCTCCATCCCACCCCTGAATTCACTCGAGAGCCTGACTTAACTGGGGGAGGGAGTGTGTCTGACAAGACCCGCAGTCCTGGGCCCATTAATGGGTGAGCTTTAAAAATGATTTTTTTCCTGTTTGAAATGAGATTGGCTTTGAGCCCCAAGCTCCTCCGTGGTCTGTCTAAAATTAGAACCCCGTTGACAAGGCAGTCTTTGTCAGGGGCCCACGGCTTGCACCAGGGGAGCAGGGAAATGTCAACAGTACGTTTTCTGAGTCAATTCTGAGTTTTCTGAGAGGCCCCGGGCACATGGTAGCTCAGAACAGATGTGTGCCTTTCAAAAGCTTTCTGAATCCAGCCCTCCCAGCGGCTGTGATTTCAAGTCATTCGGGAGAGCGGGCTGACTCTCCGTCTGCTGACCTTATCGCCGTGGGAGCTGTCCCGGGCAGCCCCTCGGGCTCAGAGCTGTGACGGGATCGGGACCTCCGCCTCTGGGAGCACTGTGGCTGGCTGCGGCCCCTGTCCCTTCTGTGACCTGGACAGGGCCGTGCCCGGCCCCGCACGCAGGGACACTGGACGTTCAAGGGTTTGCCCGCAGGCTGGAAGCAACCAGCAGGTACTGAGTGTACAAATGACCCAGCACCAACCAGCTGGGCAGGAAAAGCCAGGCTGCCGGGCCAGGCGTCCCCACCTCCTGCTTGTGGCCTCCAAGTGGCCGCTGGCGCGGGACTCAGACTGAAGGACACGCTCGCCTAGAGACCGGCTGTCCCCACGTCAGCACTGTGTGTGTGCGGGCCAGGCGGGCTGTCTCCGGAGCCCCTGTTTCTGCTTCATCCCCGGGAAGTTTTTGTAGTGATTTCTACAAAGAGCAGGCCCAGGGGCACTCCGTGAACAGCTCCGTCCCTTCCATGGGGTTTGGGGGCCCGCGGTCCCTTCCCTGGCCTGTGAAACCAGTCCTGGGCAGTGCTTTAATGGTCCAGCGTCAGTAGCCCATTGACGAGGCCCTTCCAGTCCCACCCGCCAGCCTTCTTACCTGTTCCCCCTGCCCCCATCTCGACAACGCTCACACCTGCTCCAGCTCTGCGCCTTTGCACCCGCTCTTCCACTTGTCTGGAAGGCCTGTCTGTGACAGCAAACCCCGCTCAAGATCCCAGCTTGGCCTGTGCCTGCCTCAGGGTCCTTCCCCCTGCCTGCCCTGGAGCCGGCTTTGGCGTCTGGCTGTGTCCTTCCAAGACTCAAGGCCTGGGGGGCAGAGGCTGTGCCTGCCTTCAGATCCTAGCTCTTGACCGAGGTCCACTGGGGTGGGGGGCAACCAGGACACTCACCCGACACCCGGCTGCCCCCCCGCACTGCCCCGAACGCGCTAAGTGTGGCTGCTGTGACTCATGCGTGGTGTGGTCGACTCCCCATCCTTCCTCGGGGACACCCCCTCAGAGCTTCCTAAGACAGACAAAGCCAGGCTCCTGACCCCATTTAGAGGCCAGAGAGAGGCCAAGAGTCTTGCCCAAGGTCGCCGCAGTGATTGAATGGTGGCCCCCTAAAGAGACATCACCCCCGGGCTGGGAACGGGACCTTGGGATCAGGGGCTTTGCTGATTCAATGACGGTGAGGATTGCGGGATAAGAGCACCCTGGTAAGGGGGGGCTCTGCCCAGCAGCCAGTGTCCTGATGAGAGATGGGGAGACACAGACACAGAGGAGATGGAGGCCAAGGCCAGCGTGACGCATCCACGTCAGCAGAGCCTGGACCCCCGGGAGAGGGAATGGGCAGGAGGGACCTACCCCGGAGCCTCCAGAGGAAGCGCGGCCCTGCCCACACCCTGGTTTTGGACTTTGGGCCTTAGACCTGGCAGAGAGCTCACTTCCGTGGTCCTCTGCCCCTGGCCACTGAGGCCCCAGGACACTCCTACGGCCATTTAGGAGACGAGCTGTGGCCTGGGAACCATGTGTCCACTTCCACTCCCAATGACGACATCTCTTCCTTTCAAAGATTTCCAGAGTGCTCCTGAGGACTCTCGCCGGCAGGCCCCATTTCTTGGTGGCCTATGGCCTGGGCCCAGGTCTGGCTCTTAGTGGTGGCGGTAGGAAGTGTCCACCCATCGGTGGTGGCCGGACCTCCACCCTGACCCAGGTCTGAGCTATGCCTCGCCCCCAGGTCCGGGCCATGAGGCTGTCCTTCGTGGGGGAGCTGGGCTGGGAGCTGCACGCCCCGGGGCCATCCTGCCTGCCCGTGTACCAGGCCCTGATGACCGCGGGGGCCAAGCACGGCCTCGTCAATGCCGGCTACAGGGCCATTGACTCCCTGAGCATCGAGAAAGGTGTGTGCGGGTCCTGGACCTCAGGTGGGGCACTGAGCCTTGCTGGAGGCTGTTAACCGGCCCCCATACATCCCCGTGCCCCCTTCCTGCCGTGCTGGGCCGCCCCGTACCCCCACGCAGACTGTTTCCCCAAAGCCCCTTCGCTGGCCTTGTACCAGGTCCTCCACGCAGGCCTGGGGACGGTGCTGGGATCTCTGACCCCAGCACTCTTGGGAGGGGGGTGCAGGGGAAGGTATCTCCCAGGGGAAGGGGGCCCAGAGCCAGATTTGGATTCAGCGCTGAGATTCCCAGAGAGAGCTAAAGACCATCAGAGCAGGAGGGGGGCCCTCCGAGCTGCCCCGCTTGCTGCTGCCCCCTCCCCAGGGCCTCCAGCCTGATGGCAGAGACGTGCGGCGATGCTGCTGGGGGCGGTCTGACTCTGGGGCTCAGCCAGGGTGCCTCCTGTGACTGACGATGCTCCCAGCCCCCAGAAAGCCAAGTCATGGAGGGTCTAGGCTGAGGGTGTGACGGGGGGGGCACCTCCTGGGGCGTCTCCTGAAGTCCCCGCCCCCGCTGGACAGTGACCCCATGGCCTCCCCCACTCCAGGCTACCGGCAGTGGCATGCCGACCTCCGGGCTGACGACAGCCCCCTGGAGGCGGGCTTGGCCTTCACCTGCAAGCTCAAGTCCTCCATCCCCTTCCTGGGGCGCGAGGCCCTGGAGAAGCAGCAGGCCGAGGGCCTCCGCCGGCGCCTGCTGGGCTTCACCGTGGACCAGTGAGTACCGCTGGGGCTGGGGCCGCCGGGAGCGGGGAGCGGCCGTGCAGACACAAGGGACGGTGCTTCTGGGCTCCCCCTTTCCCGGCAGGCCAGGCACCCTCTCCCAGAGCGCGCACCGCAGCCCCCGACAGGGAAGAGACTGGGACCCACAAGGCAGGGCTGGGTCCACAGCGGGCCAGACTCTGAAGCTGGGGCTGCAACTCAGATCCCACCAGCACCAGGCCGGGGGCCAAACCGGGCGCGGGCTGGTGGTGGTCGGTAGGGAGTGAACAGGGCAGCCCTCAGCAAACACCGGTTTTGTTTCACTGTATTTTGGCCGTACCATGCGGCTTGCAGGATCTTAGTTCCCCACGTAGGGACTGAACTCGTGTCCTTGGCAGGGAAAGCTGCAGTCCTAAGCACTGGACGGCTGGGAAGTTCCTCCGAACACGTGTTCTGAAAAGGGGAGCCCTGCCGAGCCACGCAGACTTTGTGGCTCCTCAGCTCCGGCTGAGGCCCCCCGATCTGGCTGCCCATCAGGGCGCTGCCATCACCCCCGTGTCCTGGTCAGAGCTTCCCCACAGCCCGGGAGGGGTCCCATGGGGGCAAGGGCCAGGCTGGGGCCACCAGCCCCCCTGACAGATGGAGACCACGGGGGCCCAGGGGCAGAGCGGTTCTTGCCCAGACCTGTGGCCGAGGTGGAATTAAGCCTCGTGGGCCGCCCGATCTCTTCTCCCCCACCCCCATCTCTCCTCCACCCCCACCTCTCCCCTGCCTCCCCCCACCTCTCCCCCACCGCCACCTCCCCGGCAGCTCTGAGCACGCCACCCTTACGTGCTGGGAGCTGAGCCCGCGTGGTTACTGGGTCCCTGGGTCCCTGGTGCTGGTGTTGGAGGACGTGGATGGGGTGATGTGGAGCTGGGTAGCAGCCATCCCCGGGGCAGCAGGCGTCTCTGGGTCTCATTGGTTTGGGGCTGAACTGACACCAGCGGCGCCCTTTCTCCCAGATTCGGCTCCTTCAAAGGAAGCCTCGAGGCTGCCAGGGTTGGGGGTGCAGAGTGAGCAGAGCTGGGGCATGTCGTCTCCTAGCTCCTCCCTGGGACCCCGTCGGGCTGCCCATCTGCCTGCCTGACTGTCCGCCTCCCGGGGAGCACTCGGCTCTGGTTTGGGGTGCAGACAGGGCAGGGGTCCGCCTGGCCCTCCAGAAAGCGCCCGCTGCCTCGGACAGCAGCAACCATGGACCACTCCAACCTCCCCGGGGCTCCCCGCCGGGATGCAGAGTCCGCCTGGGGCCGGGCTTGGCTGGCCCAGGCCCGAGGAGGGACGCGGCCAGGATGCTGCAGCTCTGCCCTGGGGCCCTGGGCGGGGCAGGGTGCCTCTCTGAGGCTGTCTTCTCACGTGGACACGGCACCCCCGTAGGACAGGACCAAAGGAGACAGGATGCGTTTGCAAACTTCCGCCACCCCACCCTCATCCACTGCACCGGTGGGCCCCAGACCTTGTCACCCTGGCCTCTGTGCCGGGAGGCACCGCAGACCCTGTCCAGACTGGCTCAGTGCAAGGTCCCCCCAGTTCTGGTTACCGTAACCAGCCCAGCCGCGCCCCACAGCCCACCGGGCGTGGCCCTCGGCTTCACCCCGGACCCGCAGGGCCACACGGTGCTGCTGCCCTGGGGGCCCCTTGTCCCCAGCATCCGGCCCGTTGCCCGGAGGCATCAGGACTCGCCGGCCAAGGTTTGCACCAAACGCTCTGGCTCTGGCGTTTCTGTGATTGCAGGTTAATCCTCTCCTCCTCCCTGTTTTAAATTTTCAAAAATTTTACAGCGAGCATTCATATTTTATGTGTAACACAGAAAAATACTTTTAATAAATGATGCATCACACTGTCAAAAAAGAAGAGCCGTCAGATTAAAACACGTTGAGTGACAGTTTCAAATCCGTGGGGCCCTGCCTCCAGAGACACGAAAGTCAGGTCCTGGTTTTGATGTTTTTCTGTCCATTTATGTGCTCGAAGCCTGAGCGCCGGCATCCTCGGGGGCCAGGTGAGGGGCATGCGGGCTCATAGCAGACCAGCCCTGAGGAGTGGAGCCCGTGCTCTGGCGGGCTCTGTCCTTTCTCCTCGGCCAGGCAAAGCGCAGGAGATCCCCCTCGGGGGCTCTGGGGTCCCAGGTGTCTATTGCTTCTTCCAGGAAAGTTCCCATGTTCGGGCTGGAGGCCATCTGGAGGAACGGCCAAGTGGTGGGCCACGTCCGGAGGGCCGACTTCGGATTCACCATCAATAAGACCCTGGCCTATGGCTACATCCGAGACCCCAGCGGCGGGCCGGTGAGTCCCCCCCTCCGCCCCTGCCCCTGCCCCCCCCACTGCCACGGGGAGCCCCGGTCCCTCTGGGGCTCTCCACAGCACCCCTGCCTCCCTCTCTGGGTGGGCTGGGCCTGGGGGGACCAGAGAACAGTGAGGGGACTGACTGATGGGGCCCTGTCTTCCCTAGGCATAGCCAGCGGCTGTTTCTATATTTTCTTTCTGACAGAATCTGACTTTGCAATCTCCAGCCTTCTCATGGTCAGAAAGGGGCTCTGCGCGGGGCTCACCCGCTCTGCACCCTGGAGCTGGAGACCCCGTGTGTGTGCAGACAGTTGTGTGTGCACACATCGGTGTTCACACAGGTGTACCCACATGTACCACACTGGCACATGTGCACACAGAAACACACGTGCACAGGCTCATTTGGGGGGCTCAGCAATGAGACGAAGGGGCAGCCTGTTCTGTGTGCAGAAAGTCTAAGCATTTTGCCCAAACCATCATTTATAAATCCCCAAATTCCCCCACCGGCTGCCCGCCTCCCAGGGACCGGTGTTTACGGGTTGGGGCTTGCTGCCCAGCAGGAGAGGTTCTCCCCGGTGCCAGACCTAGCCTCCCCTGGACTCCGGGAGCTCAGGTCCAGCTCAGGGGCCCGGGGACACGGAGTCCACCTGCTCAGGACTCAGGGCAGTTCCTGGACTCAGAGGAGGGAGGGGCGTGAGGGGCGAGACGGCGGCCCCGTCCCGGGAGGCAGGCTGTGTTAGCCCGGCTCCTGCAGGGCGCCGAGTGACCGCGGGCCCTCCTCTGTGCCCAGCAGGTCTCCCTGGACTTCGTGAAGAGTGGGGACTATGCCCTGGAGAGGATGGGGGTGACCTACACTGCCCAGGCCCACCTCAAGTCTCCCTTTGACCCTGACAACAAGAGGGTGAAGGGGATCTACTGACTGCTGCGGGCAGAGACTCAGCTGGTCTGGGGGTCGGTGACCTGCCATGCTGGCCCATGCTGCCCATTCCCAGGGACCTGCGCTGCCCCGGGCGCCAGGATCTGGACCCTGGCTGGAATGTGGGCTCCCCTGCCCTTCGTCAAGAGCTACCGCCATGGCCCCCAAAAGATGCAGGCAGAGGGGGTGGAAAGAGGACCCAGGAGGCCTGTTCTGTGGTCACTGACCAAAGGGGGCTCTCGAGTCCCCCCCACCCCCCCTTAAAAGCCACCTGCCATGCCTTGGGCTCAGGGACCATGCCTGTAGCCCTGGAGAGCTTCTGAAAAGGAGAAGGCCCCCGTGAAAGCGGGTCGGCAAAGAGCCTCACCCAGTGTTCTGTCCCTGATGGGCAGGCTGCCTGGGGCAGCCTTGAGAGCTGCGGGTGTGTCTGGCATGGGGGACGGTGTGGGACTGATTTGTCCTGTCTGCCTCGGGCACGGTAGTGAAGGCAGAGAGCAGGCGTGCCAGGCTGGCACCGTCCCTGAGGTCAGGGTTGGCAGGACGGTCTGGCCCCAGGTCCCAGGAAGGAGGGGTGGATCCAGAAAGTGAGCTCTGCTTGCCTTGACCGCTCGGGTCTTCACACGGGGAAGCCCCCAGAGGGTTCCCAGCCCTGAAATCAGCGCCAGGAGCAGGGCTGGGAGGGTCCCAGCTGGGCCACCCCCACTGTGCTCTCCTGCCCTTTTTTCCCCAGGGCCCCTCGCCCCTCATGTCGGAGACGAAGGGGCGCTGCTAGGTGCGGACCTGGCAGCTCTCTCCTGCCGGGATGGCCTCTGTCCTTGCTGTCTGACTCAGCTCTGGGCCTCGTCCCCCGCTCTCCCAGTCCCTGGGATGGCCCTAGCCCAGGGCCTGGAATGGGGTGACCCCCTGTCCCCATCCCAGGGCCTTCAGAACTGCCCATCTTCCCTGCGGGGACTGGCGCCCAGCCCCGGGACCCAGGCAGCCCCCTGGGGAGGGGGCTAGAGGGGATGCAGGCAAGAAGCCGTGTGGTGACTGGGGTGCAGAAAGTCCTGGGGGCCTGGGGTTGGTTTCAGAGGTGCCATACCACGCAGCCCTCTCCGGGGACTGGGCTGAAACAGGTCAGGCTAATAAAGTCAAGGCCACGGGAAGATGTCTGTGCTTCGGGTGACCTTTGGAGGGACAGCTGGACCCTCATCAGACTGCAGCCTGGAGGGCAGGGGCCTGTCTTTCTCAAGCCTCAGGCACAGTAACGCCTGCAGCCCCCCTGCCCATAGGAGGGCCTGGGGGACCCCGAGAGGACCCTGTGGAGCCAGAAGAGGGGAGGAGGGGAGCAGGCCTGCCTCCCGGGCCCTGCGTTTGGCCCTGGAGCCCCCGCCGGGGCCTGAGCGCACGTTCATCCTGCAGCCGTCCTGGGGGCGGCTCGGGACGGGGGGTGGTCCGGCCCACGTTCCAGCTTGACTCCTCTGGCAGGTGCTGAGCCCGGGAACAGACGTGTTCTCGCTCCCTTCGAGCCCGGGAGCAGACGTGTTCTCGCTCCCTTCGAGCCTGGGAGCAGACGTGTTCTTGCCCCCTTCGCTATGTGTGCCCCTCTGCTGGGGAGAGGTAACCGTCCGGAAATGTCCTGGCCACCACCGTGAGAGAGGCTGTCATGGGCCGCCCCCCAGCTCACCCACTTCACCCCAAAAGGCGGCTCGGGAAGGTCTGAGCCCCAGCAAGCTTCCCCATCGCTTCAGGCTGAACTGTATCGCCCTCTCCCCTCAGAGCCGGTGACCTCGGGCCAGCCCTTCCTCACCCTAATCCCGAAACGCTCTGCTGCCTTAGTTTTGGAAGGTTTCTCTGGGCAGAATGAGCATGTGGCTCTGAGCACCGCCTGGAGCTCTGCACAGGCTGAGCTGAGCGTGGCTGTTAGCCGACACAGGCGAAGGGGGCCCCCCGCGCTCAGACTCGGCCCGCGTGCGGCCAGCCATCCTGGGAGCTCTGAGCCTCCTGCAGGGACCCAGGGCGGCAACGTGCCTTCTGGAGGAAAGTGGACAGGCCCCTGCCCACCCGACTCTCCCGCTGGCCCCTGTCCAGCGGCCCGAGCAGGCCGTCAGGGCCCACGCAGACCCCTGGGCCCTGCGCCCAGCAAGGACGTTTGCGCCGGCCTGCCAGCACCTGGCCTCTGGTCTCTGCATCTGGCGAGGATGAGGCGCCAGCCTGCTCAATTCCTAGACACCTGACACTCACGGGTCTGGCACGGGACCCACTGCCCTCCAGCTGTTGGGAGCGGTGGCAATGGCATTTGGCAAAGGAGAGGCGCTGGGGTCAGACTTGAGTGATGTGGACAGCAAGCCCATCACGTGCAAAGGTCCTGGGGTGGGCGTGACCTGCCGTGTGCCCTGGGTGGTGTCGGCCTGGCTGGGCTTCCTCCACCGTCTGCAGAGAGGTTTGGGGCAGGCCCTGTGCTCTGCTGCTCTGCCTCAGCCTGGGGACCCCCCAGGGGAGCTTCCACCTGCCGAGGACCCTCCTGGACCCCACAGAGGTGCCATCCGGCCCAAACGGGCGCAAGTGTTCAGCTCACCCCCACGCCATGGAACAAAGGGCTTGCCTAGGGTGGCCAGCACATGCTGCCCACGTCCCTGATGGACAGGCGAGCGCTGAGCCGTCTGGCCTGGGGTCACGCAGCATGAACTTGGAGAGGCTTGCCAGGGAGAAGCCCTGGGACCCGAACAAGACGCTCACTCCTCCCAGGGTCCTCGCCTGGCTGCTCGAGCAGGAGACAGCGAGGCATCCAGGGGGCCGCGGGGAGGAGCGGGCAGTGTGACCAGTGGGGCATCTCTGAGAATGGCCATGGAGCTGGGTGCACTCAAGTCTGACCCCAGCGCCTCTCCTTTGCCAAATGCCACCGCTCCCAACAGCTGGAGGGCAGTGGGTCCCGTGCCAGACCCGTGAGTGTGAGGCGTCTAGGAACTGAGCAGGCTGGCGCCTCATCCTCGCCAGATGCAGAGACCAGAGGCCAGGTGCTGGCAGGCCGGCGCAAACGTCCTTGCTGGGCGCAGGGCCCAGGGGCCTGCGTGGGCCCTGACGGCCTGCTCAGGCTGCTGGACAGGGGCCAGCGGGAGAGTCGGGTGGGCAGGGGCCTGTCCACTTTCCTCCAGGGGTGCTGGACGGCCTTCCAGGCGGCCTGCCGGCCGCTCCCAGAACTCAGGGGCTCGTGGCAATCCTGAGCGGCCTCGGAACGCCCAGTGTGGGCCGGTGCTGGGTCCCCCCTTTGCTCCCTTCGGCTTTATCCTTCGTCTCTCCTCATGGCCCAGGGGCCCTGCTGCCAACATGTCAGCCCCCTGCACGCGGGGCCTGGGCCTGCGGGTGCTGCCCCTGGGCTCCCCCGCTGGGCTCCCCGTCCAGCCCTGTGAGCCCCCCAGGCCTCTCCCTGAATAACTGCCCCCTCTCGACTCCCCACTCCTGCTTTCCACCGCCTCGTCCTCTCGGCTCCAGAGGAAGAAGGCACAGGATGGAAGCCCAGGGCAAAGCCTCGGGCTTCGACTGGGAGGGGACGGAGGGTGAGGGTCCCCACACAAAGGCCTCCTGGGCCGTGACGTCAGAATGGGGCAGACCTCCCCAGGATTGGGTCTAGAACCCTCCCCTGAAGGCCCCCAGAGTCCCCCCGTTAGGAGTCTGCACAAACACCATAGTCTCTGGCCACCGATTCACGGGACACAGTGGGCTGCCTTCCGTCCGAGAGCCTCCTGACAATGCAGGGAAATGTGGAATGTACACGTGACGCTGGGTGGGCGTGGGGGAGGGGGGAGGGGAAAGACTGGAGAAAATAGAACCGTGCGTGTCCAGGGAGACCGCTGGCGGGTTTCAGCGTGTTTTGGAAGAGCCCGAGGGGAAAGGAAAGGGCTTCCTTGCCGTAAGGAGAAGCTGTGTTTTCGTCTGCAATGGAGTCCAGGGCAGCAGGCGCCCCCAGGAAGCCTGGGCTGTTCCTCCTTCGGCAGCACAGGATTGGGGCGGGTGGAGGGCAGGGACTGAGAGAGCCTTGGATGGTTGGGCGAGTCACAGCGTTTGGGTCCCGAGCGCGTCCCTCCCCAGGCTTTGGGAGGCCTGCCGGGCGTTTCTCGTGGTCATACTGGGGGCCGGAGGGACCTCCCTTGGCCTGGGAGACTGGTCCCGCCCCACATGCCTCCATGGACAAGCCCCGCAGCCCTGGCCGGTCCAGCTGCTCGGCCCAGTGACGGCCAGAGTGGGGCCGCTGGGCCCACGGGGAGGGGGCCGGGAGGTGGGGGTGCAGGCGGCTCCCGTCCCTCCAGTGGGACCCGGCCCTGGTGTGGAGCAGCCCGGGGGAGCTTTCCAGGCCAATGGATGGGCTGATATCCTGGCCCTGTGTACTGGAGCCCTGGCCACCTGTGGCTGAGGAGCGTCTGAAATGTGGCTGGTGTGACCAAGAACCCAATGCTTTATTTTACCTCATTTTAATTTATTTACAATTAAGATTCAACAGCCACATGAGCCTAACGGCCAGCAGGCAGTGCAGCCCTGGGGCATCCTGGGGCCAGCTCAGGCCGGGCACCACCACCTCCCAGGCCGTCTCCACACTGAGCGCGTGCGGGCACACCTCAGTCTGGCTCTCCAGTCCTGGCAGCCTAGCAGCCCTCACCCCCGGGACCCCGGGGAGCCTTCTCCGTGGGTGGACAGGAAGAGAAAGGCCCAGAGAAGGAGAGTAGGTTGGCCAGAGCCACACAGCAGAGGGCAGAACGGGATCCCCGGCCACTGGGCCCGCATCGCTCCCATCCTGCAGAAGGTGAGCGAGCCTGACAGTGCACAGGGGCTTCTGACCGAGGGGGCACCCAGGCCTGGTCGCAGACGTTTCCCTGGCTGGCCTGGCTCGGTACCCATGAGGCGTAGGGGGTGCTGCCCAGATCCTCGGCGTGGAGGGGCTGGAGGCCGGGAGTCTGGGTTCTGCCATCACACAGACCCAGGGTCACCTCCAGGCCCCCCACGCACTCTGGGTGACCCTGGCACCTGGCTTTAGGTGTCTGAGTTTCACCATCTGTCAGTGGGAACAGAGACAGCGTGTCCTGGGCTCCTGGGTGAGTTAGCGCAGAACCAGGGTACCTGATTTTACAGATGCCCTGGGTGGGATGCTCCGGGTGGGGTGGGGGTCGGCAGTGGCCGTTCGTGAGGCAAACCACACGCCGCCCCCAAGGAAGAGAATGGCCAGCCCGAGGGCAACAGTGAGTGCAGGGAAGGGCATGTCAGTGGGGGCGGCGGAAGGTTCTGGAACTGGGAGCGATTCCTGGTTGCCCCTAGTCCTCCAGGGACCCCAGGGGCGGGAGCGACCTCTCCTGTGGAGAGTCTCGGCCCTGGGTGAGGCTGGGGCGGGACACCACTGGTGCCTCCCAGCCGTCTGGGGAACAGAGTAATGGTGCCCAGGAGGGGCTGGGTGGGGGTGAGGCCTCGGGTCACCCCCAAGCCCTCTCCCAGAGCTCTGGGCTGATGGGACCCCTCAGGCAGAGGGGACTTCCTGGACCAGAAGGTCAAGGCCAGAGGCTAGGTGAGCCGCAGCTGCCCTCCCGAGGCCTGGGCCCTGCAGGGAGGGGCCTCTCACCCCGCTGTCACGCCAGGCTCTAAGGATGACAGAGGGCCGGCCACTCTGCAGCCTCTGTCGGGCCTGGCAGCTCACAGCCATTGCGGCCTGACTTACGGCAGGGCAGTGTGATTTACAAGACCCGGGGCACAGTGCCTGGCCTGCCTGTGATGAAGCGGCTGGCAGGAGGAGAAGCAGCGCTTAGCGGATGGCTGTTGGGGCGGAAGGGGGGCCCAGAGGCCCATCCATCACCCTCTCTCTCCTAGAAGCTTCACAGCGTTTTGCTGAACTGGCTGAACAGAGCTGAATCTGTCACTCCTGGCAGCAACCATCAAAGAGTTGAACTTGGCCTGCAATGAGCAGCAGCTAAGAGGGAAGGAAGGTGGAGATGACCCAGGAGGCAGGGCCTGGCCAGGCAGCACCACCCTGCATTAGCTGTGACCAGGTGCCGGCCCCAGGCATGAGCTTTATCGTCTCAGTAACCTACATGACACTGGCCCCATCTGACAGATGAGAAGACCGCGGGCCGGGGAGGTGGGGCCGGGCTTCTATCGCAGATCTGATTTCAGGGCTTGCTTGCTCTGTTAGCCACCTGTCCCACCACAGAGAGAAGTGACTTGGGCCATTAACCCATCTCCCAGGGAGCTGGCGCCCAGACCCTGGTCTGGATCTTTGCCGTCGCATCTTTTGCTGGTGGTGAGAGTTGTTCTTAGGGTTTTCCTTTAGGTGGGCGAAAATATCTATTTACCCTACAACGGAACAATTTCCCCAGGCGCATCTCTAACAAGCTAAGTGGTTTGTCCTGCCCCCATCGGCAGGGAAGACGCCCACCGCAACACACGAGCCAGTCTGCAGGGACACGTTTAAGTACAACAGCGCTTGTACCCGTCACACACCAACACCGACCACCGACCGCGGGGACTGGGGACGCGGGGCCGGGACAGCTCTCGGGAGTCTGTCCCGCTTCCGATCATGGCTCGTGTCCCAGGAGATGCGCCCCCTACAGTGAGATGGCAGGGGCTCCCGGGGCACTGGACTCTAGACGCCCAAGAGGGGTTACCCTTATGCTGTGTCAAAGGGTGTGCAAGGGTCTTGGTCCACCTGGTCCTCGTGGGTCAGCAAGAGCTGTCACGGGACACTCTCAGCCATGCAGGGGGTCCCCGGGGGAGAAAGCTGGACTGGACCCTGGTGTCAGGCGGTGGCTTGGTCCAGCCCTCCGTGCTGGGCTGTTCCAAGGGGGTCTTCACAGAGGAGGGGGTGCACAGAACTGGCGGGAGCCCACAGGGACAGTATGATGAGGGGAGCGGAGAGACCGCCCACACTCAACCTTTGCCCCCGCCGATGCTGAGCACGGTGGGGCCGGCAGGGCGCTGAGCCTGGCTGGCCGGACAGTGAGGGGTGGGCTCTTCCAGCCTGGACACGACCTCGGGCAGGGGTTGCCGATCCCACTCGCCCTGCAAGGAAGGGACAATGAGGTAAATGGAGGCTGGGGGGCGAGGTGGGGGCCGCCTCCCCTGGCGCTTCTCCCAGTAACCCCGTGGGTTCCTGCCCTTAAACTCACCTTCTCCCAAACCAAAGCAAACCGCCCATTGCTAGCTGGGGGTCCTCACCTGGGAGCCAGGGTTGCCCCCAACTGCCTGCTCGGCCACCCTTCACTTCTTTTGGGGAAGCAGTCAGAAGGCATGGGTGCAGCCTGAGTTTTCAGCCACTCTCCCCACCCCCCGACTCTTACACACGGCTGCATCAAACGCCATATTTCAACCACATCAGACGTCGGCCCCAAACTGCTCTTTGATGATCCAGTATTGGCACCCCCCTCCTTGGGGGCTGGGAACATTCGATTAGCGATTAGTCCAGCTCCCAGTGCTTCCAGGAAAGCTGCCTCACAGAGTTGCAGGCCACGGAGCCTTCTCCATGTAACTCAGCCCCGGCCCGGGCCCTGGGCCCCGCCAGGAGCTCGCAGGGGGTGAGCGAGATGCCTTTGGATCCCAGTGGGTCCCGGATGAGGAGAGAACCCAGCCTGCAGCCTCAGACCCTGACTGCTCACTGCCCCCGCCCCCTGAGTGCTGTGTTTTTAGGCTCCGGGGGAGGCTGCGGATGCCCTGCTCGCACCACCGAGGTTAGTCCCATGGTGTGCTGGCATCCCAGAGTGGGCGGCGCCCTCGGGGGCAGCTGTCAGCTCCCCACTGCGGGCCCTCGGCTGTCTTTCTGGGCCCGTCTCTCACCACCTGATCCTTGTTTTGTGTGAGTGCTTCTTGCCAGCTCTTGGGGGTGGAGCCCTGTCACCCCTAGGATCCTCTGGGTGGGTCTGGGGCACAGAGGGGTGGGCAGACTCAGAACTTGCTGCTGGGTGTCCAGAAAGGGTGACTGCATGGCCAAGGGCAGCCAGCCGGCCCCAGCCACTTTCACCCTCCCCCCAACACGGGCAACCACACCTGGAATCGGACAAACCACACATGTGCACACACATACGCACATGCATGCACACGCGCACACATGTGCACATGCACACATGCAAATGCACACACGCACATGCACACACATATATACGCGCGCACACACGCACGTGTGCATGCACACACACGCACACATACACGCGCGCACGCACACATGTGCACGCGCGCACACACGTGCACGCACACGCACGCTCACATGCATGCACACGCACATGCATGCACGCACATGCACGCACGCACGCGCACACACACGCACACATGCACACACTCGCACACACACGCACACATGCACACACTCGCACACACATGCACACACGCACGCACACGCACATGCATACACACACGCACACGCATGCACGCGCACGCACGCACACGCATGCACATACACACATGCGCACGCACACACACGCATGCACACGCACACGCACGCACACCTGGAAGCGGACGGCTGAGGACTTGTTGCAGTGCATGGAGACGGGCGCGAAGCCATACAGGGCCTTGAGCACCTCGCGGTTGAAGGAGTTCCAGGGCACGGAGGCAAACTGCTCAGGGACAGAGGCCTGGGGGCAGGTGCAGACTTCCTCGCTGTTGAACCTGGTGCGAGAAGGAGCCTCCCAGAGTGGGGTTTGGGGGAGCGGAGGGGAGCCCAGCAAGGCACCGGTGATGCCTCCCTGCAGAGGGGCAGGGTCCCCGGAGCAGCCCCGAGCCCACCAGCCTTCTAGCACACTGCCCTGGCTGCCTCCCGCCACGACAACTGATGGGCTTCATCTCTTGTGCCATCTTCGGTCAGTTGGGAACAGCTGCTCCGGGGCTCAGTGGAGGGGCTCCTCAGGCCAAGTCCAGACTCGATAGGAAGCAAGTATGGGATCAATTGGTGATGCCTGCCATCAGCACCTCAAGGTGGGTGGGGGACTGATTGCCAGGTTCCTGCTCACCTTGCTCCTGGGCTCCCTGCTTTCTCCCAGGGCCTGGAGGGTTTGGGGTTGGGGGGAGTGTTTGGGGCTGGGGTTCCCCTGCCGTGTCCGGGATGGAAGGCACAGTGGGCACACTCCTCGGGAGCCATCACCTGTTCACAAGGTGGAAGTACTTCTGCAGGAATCCGGGGTCCACGGCGCTCTTGCAGAGCTCCAGCCGCGTCTGAGGGTAGTAGTGCACGTAGTTGACGCACATCTCCTCCAGGATCCCAAAGCCCCCCTGCAGGGCGGAGAAGACACCCATCAGCACTGGCGCATCAGCGTTACTCCTAGACGCTGCTGCCCAGCCTCTCCGTGTGGTCACTGCGTTCATGCACGCACGCGTGCACCCACACATCACACAAGGCCAGACAGTGTTCTGAGTGGGCAGAGGCCCTGCCCTCCTGGAGTCCTCAGCCTTTGCCGGAGAGAGACAGCAAGGCAGTCAGCCGGCATGTGCAGCTCAGGGAGCGACACCTCCCCCGCGTCCTCAGCTTTATCCCACCTTTGCCGGTCACAGGAGGCCGGTGTGGCTGGTCTGGCTCCCTGGGGGCAGGGAGCCCCCTCACGCCCCCGGCCTCTCCCCAGCACAGGCTCCGGTGCTGACACACGTTTCTGGCCGTGGCTCTCCAACTAGGGCAGCCATCAAAATAACCCGGGTAGTTGGTTAAACCAGACATCTCTGGGAGTCACCACCCAGGCTGGGGAGCAACTGATGAGTTTATGTGTTTCGTTTACCAAGTTCCCAGGGGATGTTTGAGGGCAGAAGGAGAAGGGGACAACAGAGGATGAGATGGCTGGATGGCATCACCAGCTCGATGGACATGAGTTTGAGTAAACTCCGCGAGTTGGTGATGGACAGGGAGGCCTGGCGTGCTGCAGTCCATGGGGTCGCAAAGAGTCAGACACGACTGAACTGAACTGAACAGGGGATGTTAATGCTGCCCAGGGCCCACAGCCTGAGAACCGCTGGTTTAGTGCATGAATGAGGGAGGGGCACCCCCGCCCTGCGCTCTAGCGGAGTTGAGACTGGTGCCCGTGCTCTGTGGCAGGGGGCGAGAAGTTGGGGTGACTTACCACGGTGGCCAGCCTTCTGTCTTCCGTGTTGTACGTGCAAGAGGTGATGAGCACGTCTCCCTGGAGGGCCAAGCCGACAGACACCCTCAGCACCTGCCCACCTGGGGTCAGGTGTGCCAGGCCGGACCCACGAGTGACCATGGTGGTCAGCCCCCCCCGAGGAACCCGGGGTTCCCACACATGAGGACCACTCTGGAGTGTCCCCAGGGAGTGATGACCAGTCAACTTCTCTGGCCCCTTCCTACTGGGGTCACGGGCCAGCGGGTGGCTGCGTGGGGCTGGTCGGACGTCAAAGCCTGCATTTGGGCGAGCCCCCACTCTGCCCAAGAATGCCCTGCTGCATGGTCAGCAAACCACCGGTGGGCCCCCGGCCCTCATCTCTCCTGAAGCCCTCGGGTCTGTGATCCGCTGATCAGGCAGGAGGAGGCCTGCGACCCCAAGTGCCCTCTGGCCCTGGCCCCTCCAAGGGCCCCCTGTGCAGCTCCGGGGAGTCTCAGACCCGGTTCTGGAAGGCCTTCCACGGCCTCTGCCCCCCCCATCCTTCCTGCCCTCCCCCCACCTCGGTCTCCTGCCCCGAACCGGGCACTCACCGGGTGGACAGACACCACCTTCTTCAACATGCGGATCTCCTGGGGTGGGCGGAGCAGGGGGTGGGGAGGGGCAAGGACAAGGTGAGACTTCAGAGTCCTACAGACCCAGTGCCCCCCCACTGCCCCACGACCTTTGAGGCCTCCGGCTGGGAGGGCATTAGGACAAGAAGGTGGTCATCTAAGACGGAGGTCACCGTCAAGCTGCCCAGGTCCCCCAAACCCCACAGTCAGCCACACGCCGTAGTCCACCACCAGAGTCCCTCCCTACATCAAGCCCCCGACGGGACGCGACTGGCTGGGTGGGCTCCTCTGGGGTGTGGGCTGGCCCAGGAGAAGGAGCGCGGGATGGAGGGTGTGTGTCGGGGCAGAGAAGGTCAAACAGGGCCCCCAGCGGCGCCCTGGGCGGGGCAGGGGAGGGGTGGGGTCCCTACCTGGAAGTGTGGGCTGTAGTGGTTGTCCCTGTTCACGATCTCCCTCTCCCGGCCGTCCCTGGCCAGCACCGTGACCACCTTCCGGCCCGTCAGGTGCGTGTGGAGCTGAGAGGCGAAGATATGGATCCCCGAGGGGGGCAGGGCCTGCGGGGCGGGGCGGGGTCAGGGCCCGGCTCGCGGCCGCTGCAGCCCCAGCCCCTGGGCGGCCTCGCACGTGGGCGGCCCTGACCCTTCCGTCTCCCCGGTCGGGCGAGGCGCTGACCATCCCAGCCATGGCCGGGCAGCACCGGGGAGACGGGCCAGCCCTCACGTCACCTCCAGAGCAGAAGACGACGTCCCAGATGTTCCCCTGACGTGACGCTCACGCGGTTTAAGCGGAAAGCGTCCAAAATCGGTTACACTCATCAAGCATTTTCTCCACGACGCGTCATCTCCCTGCCCTCGCAACGCCGTGCCGTCCACACGGTCGGCAGCTCCGTCACCGAGAGACCACAGGTCGCTGTGCCTCTGCGGGTCACCCGACTCCCCCTCCGTGCCTCCAGCTTGCCCTCCGCCAGCCACTGCCCCGCCCTTGGTCATTACAGGCACCCTCTGGCCCCCTTGCAGTGACGGAGGTCCGGGAGACTTTACGGCCGCGTGTGTGACAACTGAGAGCCCCTGCCGACGGGTGGAGCCCTGGGTTTCTCCCCTCTGGGCAGAGTCCAGCTGTGTGACAGGTGCAGGGGGATTGCCATCTTGGGGCCTATGGTCCAAAACACAGTACTTCTTCTGGGCTTGTCTTCGGCCAAGATGTCTAGACGAGGATGGCCTTCTGACTGCGAAAGCTGTGGTCCTCGGGGGTCTGCCAATGGAGACGAGACCCCCTTTCTTCCAGAAGCCCTTCCACGAGTGTGCACAGAAATGCGATTTTCCCAAAGAACGTACTATTTGAAGGGGAACCAGAAAGCTGAGCTCTTCTTGTTTTGTGCCGTAAAGTACTTAGGGACTCTGGGGAGAGAAGGCAGGCAGGCCCTCGTCTCCAGGCTGGCAAGAGGTGTGCTCCAGGTCAGCGGGTCAACACGACCCGGGTCCTGCCGGCACAGGGCGGTGACTGTCCCGGGCCCTTCGTACGGCCGGGCGTCACGTGCTCCGGGGACGCGGGACGGGGTCAGACGCTCATGCGGTTACAGTTCGTCAGCCTCGTCTCAGACGGAGCTGATCCGCCATGGACGCTGACGGGGCCCACGCAGCCCACCAGCCCTGTCTCCAGGGCACCTTGCTTGCCTAAGACTTCGAGGAGCTCCCCCCCGAAGGACGAATCCCAGGGGATCCACTCACTGGGAAGACAAATCCGCTCTAAACCTCACCGCAGAGCAGCCCGCGTCTGACTCCTCGCCCTGAAACTGCAGGCACCGTGGCCCCCGCGGGCCCCAGGCCCCTCCTCTGCTGGGTGGAGACGCTAACACTCAGCTGGCTCTGTGAGAGCGCGGGGCCACACGGGAGAGGGTGTTCGCAGCATTCACAGCGGACCGAGCAGTGAACCCGCCAAAGAGGAACCACCGGAGTGAGACAGACCACCCGCCGGGAGCACTGGACAGAGTTGCGAGCAGATATTCACAGAAAAGAAGGGCAAATGGCCTCGAGGTCGGGGCCAAGACGCGCAGCTTCTGCAAACGTGTGCTGGGCTTGGCTGCTCAAGTCGAGTCCAACTCTCTGCGACCCCGTGGACTGTAGCCCGCCGGGCTCCTCTGTCCGTGGGAGTCTCCAGGCAAGAACACTGGAGTGGGCTGCCGTGCCGTCCTCCAGGGGATCTTCCCGACCCAGTGACCCAACCCAGGTCTCCCGCATTATGGGCGGATTCTTTACCAGCTGAGCCACCAGGGAAACCCAAGTATACTGGAGTGGGTAGCTCATCCCTTCTCCAGCGGATCTTCCTGACCCAGGAATCAAACCGGGGTCTCCTGCATTGCAGGCGGATTCTTTACCAGCTGAGCTCCCAGGGAGGCCTACTTCTATAATTACAGGAATTCAAATGGAACAACAGGGATGTTTTTCTCCCAAGTGACTGAGATGCTAAGACACTGATAACAGGCTGGGTGGGTAAGTCTGGGGCACTGGGCACACCCCAGTTCTGTGGGGGAAGAAAGCGCTGAGTGGGCTTTCTGGGGGGCATTTTGCCAGAGTTATCCGCATGAAAGCTCACATCCCCGAGCATGGCAGCTGCTCCCCTAGAATCCACCGACACCCCTTTCCCAAGTGCACAGGAATTCCCTGGAGGGTTTCTTCCCATCAGTGGGAAGTTAAGGCAGCCTGGATGCTGGTGATGAGGGAGCAGGCCAGCCCCGGCCAGGACTGGGGGAGGCAGGGGGCATGGAGGACCCAGAATCTGGGGAGTCCCTTTAGCTCCTCTGGAATCTCAGGCCCTCCCTCTGCTCCAGAGACTGACATTACCGGGGCCCACCTGCCCCCCGCAGTCCCCCGGGCCCAGTGCTCCCTCCTACACTCTGCCTTGGGCACCTGGCTGGCCTCAGGTGATGAAGTTCCACTGAATCCGTGCTGCACGCCAGTTAAAGGGCAAATCACGGACGAAGCTTCACTGCTCAATTTGTTTTGAAGCGTGCACGTGAACGGGCTTGTAGCAACAAGCAGGGAAAACATCTAGAAGGACTCAAAAGATCCAAGAACTGGCAGCCAGGCAAGAGCTGAGGCTGAGGGGGCCTTGGTGGTTAGCTGCACTGCCTGCGTTTTTCCACGGTGAATGCATGCCTACCCCACTCATAGCTGAACGAGTATTTTAAATTCTGGCTCAGGTATGGACTAAGCGCGTGCATGCTAAGTTGCTTCACTCTGTCCGACTCTGTGCAACCCCACGGACTGTAGCCCGCCAGTCTCCTCTGTCCATGGGGGTTCTCTAGGCAAGAATACTGGTGTGGGTTGCTGTGTCCTCCTCCAGGGGATCTTCCTGATCCAGGGATTGAACCCGAGGCTCCTACGTTTCCTGCACTTGCTGGCGGGTTCTTCACCACCAGCCCCACCACTAAACAGGGGCCCACAGTCACTGCTGGAGGGGGAGCACGCAGCCCCCAGGAAGGCTCCCTGGTGTCAGGGGGCTGGGGGAGGCTGCAGAAGCTGCAGGGTGGGGGCGGAGCGAGGTCACAGCTGCTGCCCTTGGTGCCCACCTCGGGCCTCAGCAGGGGAAGCGGGCGGTGCCAGGCCCTGCCCCAGGTCCGGCCACTCACCAGCTGGGTGCACTTGTCCGTGCAGTAGCCGGTGAGGACGAAGGCCGTCTCCTGCGGGGGGATGGCCATCACGGGCGTGTACACCAGGCCCAGCTCCATGATGCCCGCGTCAAAGCGCCGCAGCGTGGCCGTGTAGTACAGGCGGATGCCCGAGGAGTCGCGCCGGCCTGGGGGAAGGGACGGAGGTGAGCGGAGGCCCTGGCCCCCAGCCCCGCACAGTGACCCCCAGCCTCCCTCAGCCAGGAGGTGCCGGGCACCCACGCCTGCTGCCCCCTGCCTTTGTCCCCACACCCGCTTACTCCAGGCAGACTCCATGGTTACCAGAAGGCCAATTCACACGCCCCATGCGGTTCCCATAGGGAGAGAAAGAGCTTTTGTTTCTGCGAAAACGAGGCGAGTGCTCTGGGAAGACTTAACTAAGGCAGCAAACAAAAACCCAAAGCGGTGCTTTGAACCGGGTGGGGTGAGATGCCTGCCGTGGGTTTGGGAAGCGGGCCAGTCCCTCCGAGGGCTGGGTAGGCGCTCTGATGCTCTTCCCGTGAGTTCACAGGGCCCTGAGCTGGAATCCACCCGCAGCACGAACCGCTCAGTTAGGGCGGAGAGGAGGTCACGCTGGTCTCAGAGAGGAGTCTCCGCCCCTCTCGGGCAGGTGAGCGCGGGTTTGCATGGTGAAGTCAGTAGGAAGTATTTAAGGTGCATCCTTCTGGGGCTCCCTCCTTTGATTCCTGTCCTGCAGGGTCGACCCAGGGCTTGCATCTCCCGGGAGGACGTCCCAGGAGAAACCTGAGAAGGAGGGTGGGCTCCTGGGGCGAGGTCCTGGAGCACCCCCTGGTTCCCACACCGTCCTGGGCTCCATTTGCTCCACAGTGTGCTGTGTGATCTCGGGCAAGTTGCTGTCCCTCTCTGGGCTCGAAGCCAAAGGCCTTGTCCAAAGAATTATCGCTTCTGCCCGTCACGGTCCAGCCACCCCTGCCAGCTCTTCTTGCCGTTGGCTGATTGGCGAGTCCAAAACCTTCCTGGGCAGCCTCCCAGTGGTCATGCGAAGCTGATGGCCTCCCAGTGGTCACGCGAGGCTGATGGCCTCCCGGTGGTCGTGCGAGGCTGATGACCGGAGGTCCGGAGATGCTGGCAGCCACAGGCCTCTCGCGGCCCCTTCCTGCCTTCTCCCTGCCTGGAATCACTCAGCGAGGTCCTGAGCAGTTCAGGGCTGTTCCCGTGGGGGTGGAGCAGAGGCTGGACATGGCCCACCCCCTCGGGATACGCAGGAGAGCTGGGAGCCGGGCGGGGAGCCCGTGGAACCGAAGAATCATCGTCCCACGTTGTAGATGGGGAAACTGAGGCCCGGAGCCTGAGCGGAAGCCCCTGCTTGAGCGCCGCGGCTGGGAGCAGCCGAGCTTGGACGCGGCCCACGGCGCCTGCGGGGGCCGGGCTGTCTCCCCGCTCGGCCGCTCTGAGGTAGAACCGAGGCCACCTCTGCCTCTGCCTCTCGCCTCCTTGCACCAGCCACCCCGCCCCCCACCACCACCGCAGTGTCCAAGCTCAGCCTCTGTGTCTCTGGGCTGATTACATCAGAGGATAATAATAAAAAGGGAGATGCAATTGGTTAAAATTCAGACAGGGATTAAATAATGAAATAATTGTGGAATTTTGATATTTATAGAAAAGAGACCCATCTCCAGATTTTGCAAAGCGACAGGAGTGTCCTTATATTTGGCGAAGGAGCCATAAATACAAGCAGATAATCAGGAAGAGACAGACTTCCTTGACGCTTAAGGAGTTTTCGAAAATCCATTTGCTTCCAGGTTTTAAACGAGCCATAAATCCCGTACCACGCTAAGGCCCAGGCTGACTTATGGTCCTCTCTGTGTGCGGCAGATAATTCCAGTGGTGGCAGAAGGCATTAGTTATGCTCTGGGGAGAAATCGCTGGCAGTTACCGGTCAAGCACAGCCCCGGAGCTGCACCCCGTTGGGAGCGCTGGGTCCCGAGCCTTCCCAGCCCCAGAGCGGCCGAGCGAGCCAGTGAGCGTGGGCAGGGGAGGGTGTCCCACGCCCGGTCACACCACCAGGGAGAGACGGACTAGGCCCAGGCTGGAGCTCAGGTTCTCCTCAGACTGTTTCCGTCCCTCACTTACACAAGTGAAAAGTGTCATTAAAAAAGGAGTGAGGGGAAGAAGCCTCTGTGCCTATATACGGCGGAAGATGCCGGTGAAACAGAGAGGAAAATGCTCTGTTTCTGGAGTAGAATCAGCTGGCATCGCCCTCCTATAGACTAACCCTGTGTCCACCTTCAGGTGCGGAGTGATCCAGGTGTCCTGCTTTCTGGCCCCCACCTCGCTTCCCCAGCCCCTACGCTGCAGCCAGGCCGGACCACCTGTGTTTTCTGGAACACGCTGGCCTTGCCCACCTCCATGTCTAGGCACAGCCTGTCCCTCCATCAGGAATGCAGCACGTGTCGGCGTCCCTCGTGAAGCGGCTCCTCATGCTCCGAGGCTGCCCAGGCCACTGAGACGCCTCCTTTCATACCTCCTTGCCCTTTGCTTGCGTCTCCCTCCTGAGAAGCCTTCGCATCTTTCTGGACCCAAGGTCTGCTGTGGTCAATCGGGAAACAAGATCACCACCCTGCTTCCCACACAAGGGGGTCTCATGGGTTTCTGTTTGCTGAGCATAAACTCGACAGCAGGAAACACACCAGAGCCATCCCTTGAGCACTGACATCACCCCAGGGCCGACATCACCCCAGGGCCGACATCACCCCTGCAGCACCGACATCACCCCAGGGCCATCACCCCAGGGGCGACATCACCCCTGCAGCACCGACATCACCCCAGGGCCGACATCACCCCTGCAGCACCGACATCACCCCTGCAGCACCGACATCACCCCAGGGCCGACATCACCCCCAGGGCCGACATCACCAATCAATCCCAGACGCCTTTCCAGGGGCCATCGCCGAGGGTCACTCAGAGGAGAGCCAGGCGAGCAGGCCCTGTTTGCCGCCCTGACTGAGAACGCGTGGAAACAAAGCCCTGTTGTAACGTGCACACTCCAGGCATACATTTGCTCCACCGAGAGAAGCAGGAGGCAAGTCCATAGCCAGAAATGCCCCTGTTGAGCCAGGCACGACCCTTGCCCTGAAGACAGTCCGGGGCCATGCCTCCTGGCGGTCAAGCCATTGAAGGCGGGGTTCTGGGCAGGGATGATGTTGGCTCAGAGTAGCCTGCTTCCTGCTATCCGGCCAGATGCCTGTCCTGGCCTAGGCTGTTCTGGGGATGGAGGAAGAGGGGTCCTCAGGGGTAGGGGGCGTCTCCAGGTCTTAGCAGCCTCACAGAAGTTAGACTTCCAGGGGACACGGCATATGCGACCCCCTCACCTGACACCCTCTCTCCACTGTCTGCGTCCCCGTTGGCTGGCACACCCTGATACTAGCCGTCTGCTCTGGCGGGTGCCAGCAAGGAAATGGTGTGGGGAGGAGGGGTGAGCTGTGTCTACCCCTGGCCTCAGTTTCCTCATCTGCAAAATGGGCATCCCAGAAGCCTCAAGCTGCCTTTCCCAGGTGGTACCTGGGGCGGTGCCGGGGCAGCAGCAGCTGGTGCTTGTGGCAGGGGAGGCTGAGCTGCTGGGCCCCTCCTGTGTGGGTGTGCATGTTTACGAGCCCACCGCAGCTGCAGGAGATGGACAGAGAGGAGCCTGAGCGGGACGCCGGCCACGGTGGGTCAGGCGACAAGCAGGTGGACTCAGGGGACAGGACGCAGGCTGAGCCCCGCCAGCCCGGCTACCCTCCTGGGACACGGCCGAGTCCACAGGCTCCCGAGGGTGGGTCAGAGGCAGGTAAGAAGGGAAGCGCGTCTCGGACCTCCCTACCTTTGATCATCAGCGGGTTATGGTAGTGAACTTCCAGGCGGAGAAATCTGGAGGAGCCGGGCCCTCCGAAGGCCAGGCCAGTTTCCTCTGGGTAGTAAAAGGCCTGCAGGGGTGCAGAGGGAGGGCTCAGCCCCGACAGACAGACAGACAGACAGGGCAGGCACGAGGGGAGTCCCTGGAGGGCCAGGGCAAACCCACCCACGTGCCAGAGCCCGAGCTGCAAGGGCGGGAGTGGGGGTTGGAGCGGCAGCCAGATTAGAACGACACGCCCCCACTGACGGGCAGCTCATCACCAGCCCACACGGTGCTCCTGTTAGACCTGAGGTCAGCGAGTCTGGAGCGCTCTTACCCCCAGGCGAGCCCACCACCCAAGCCCCGCCGCTGAGCTGCGGGAAGACACTGCTGGAAGACCCTGGACGCAGCCAGGGCGGCCAGCCCCGGGACCACCCCATGCACGGCCCCCTCCAAATCCAGCGGAACTTGACGGGTAACGAGAGTGATGCCCACGAGGAACGGTACGGAGGATGAGGAGGCCTCTGTGGCTCCAATGAGCCGTGGGACTCCAGCCGCATAGCGGCAATGGGGAGGGGGGCTCTTTGGGGACCCCCCAGGCTCCCTCCGGTGCACACACGAGGAGTCCCCCTGGGGAGACGCCGGGAGGGGCATGCACCTTGGCGCCCAGGGCCCAGGCGGCCAGCACGTGGCGGCAGTAGTTGAGCCGCTCCGGCTTCATCTTGGAGTCGCAGGGCCCGCTGAAGTGGGGCACGCTCTCGAACTCAGCGGCGCACTGGAAGACCTCCATGTGGTGCACGAGCGCCTCGTTGCCCCCGGTGATGATGGGCTCATACTGCGGAGGAGGGGCGCCCGCTGAGACCCCCGCCGCCCCACCCTAGCACCGCTCACCCCCCTGACGGGGCTCTGGCCCAGCAGCTCCCTCCCGAGTGGGCCTCCGCTTGCCCATCTGTAAAATGGGAGGGTTGCACCAGGTGATCTCTGGGGAGCCTCTGGAGTCCAGGGTTTTGGGAGCTAAGCCACCACCCAGGAACCAGACAGGATCTGCCTGAAGCTCACGGTGAGAGCTAAGGCAGAGAGAAGGGGTCCCGGGCAAGTCGTTTCTTGGTAAGGGGGACGGGAAGTCAGCAGTCCTTGCGTGAAAGCGGCAGGGGCTGGGCAGAGACACGGAGACTGCCCGAGGCTAAGCCTGAGCCTAGGGGGCAGGGGCAGCTGTGAGTCTGGCCCGTCGCTTCCTGCCGTGTGACCCTGGGGGCTCACACAGACTCTCTGGGCCCGACAACCTGGACTGGAAATAAGGATGATGATCTGCAGGGCTGCGTGTGTAGTGCTGGGGCGATGGAGTGGGCAAACCACTTTCCCTTCCCCTGGAGCCAGACAAAGAGTAATTCAGCAGCTATTGTCATTATTGTTGTAGCTCCGAGTGGGTGTTCAGAGCAACTGAGCTCTGAGTTGAGCTGTTATTTCAAGGGGGAGGGTGGACTGACAGACAGACAGATAGATAGACAGCCATTCCCGTCCCTGGGGAAGATGCGGAAATCAAGACATCGGTTACCTTTGGTCCAGCCTGGGAAGCCAGGGTGCAGCAGCCCTGGGGGGGTGGGGCGGGTGGGGAACGAGCAGGGCAATGGGGGTCAGAGCACGCTTGGGGCTGGACCATGGACAGCTCTCCAGGACTGGACGCACCCGGGCCCACGTACCATGACGATGTGGTGCCGGGGGAAGCCGGCCGGGAGCTCGCTGATGTAGCACCAGTATGTGGTCTCCTGGCCGGGGATGAGGACGTCGGGGGCGCGGATCTCCATGGTGAGCGTGTCCGCGGGCAGGGCCGGCTGCGAAATGTTGGGCTTCAGCAGCTGCACCCTCTGCAGTCCCGTGTGCAAGCCAGAGGTGTTGATGGCCTCCAGCGACCTGAGCGGCTCCTCCAGGAGCCCGTAGACCAGGTGGACGGTGCCGTCCTGAAGGTGGGATGGGGCCGCGTCACTCACAGCCCCAAGCTGGGCTCCTGGTGACCGGGGAGGCTGCCGGGTCCCTCCCCACCCCCGCCTGGCCGGTGACATGCTTGGTTCTCATCTCTGTGAAGGGCGGGAACCTTCAGGCTCTGTGTGAACTGGGCTGGGATTAAATCCAAGGCCACCCACACCCAGAGCCCACGGTTTGCACCTGGCATTAATGCATTTTGTCTTTCTAAATTCTCTCAATCTACATTTGACTAGTGTCCATTCAACTAACCATTGCTGGGTCGCTGTGAACCAGGCTGGCTCACCTGGAACAATGGTTCCCTCCACCTCCCCCGGGGCCCTGGGAACAGGGCTGTTCTCTGCACAGGTATCTCAGAGCTCCAGGCGGGAGGTTGTCCCGCACCAGACTAGAAGCTCTGAGCTGAGCACACGTGGGCATCAGACACCCTGCAAAGTTCGGGGAGAGGGTGCTCTGCCTGCCCTTGCCTCCTCCATGGGGAAGGTGAGCAGGAGGATGACCTTCTGGAAGTGACAGGGACAAAGTAGGTGATTAAATAGTTAATTCCATTAGCGGATTCTAAGTAGAAGGAATATGGGAGACCCCTGCATGCTAATGATGACTCAAGAAGCGTTTGCTCAACCACAGAACCAAGCAGGCTTGCTTAGCAACAAAACCAGGCAGCGGAAGCAAGAGACACGCCCCCTAAAATAATAAAACAATGGTGGCACCAGACCCACAGCCCTGCCCAGGGGGCCCAGTGAGGTAGGGCATGCTCTCTGCATACAGAAAAAGCAATAATTCGTGGACCTGGCTTGACCATGTAGGGACAGGAAAACTCTCCGACCGGGAGGAGGAGCATGATGGAAGCATGATGTCTACTCAAGAAAGACAAAGACGGTCTTCTCCCCACCCCACTTTCCCTTTGATTATAAAACTGTAGCCCACTCCGTTCTCGGGGTGCAGCGCTCTCTTGCCTCACAAGCGTCCTGTTCTCATACATCCCTTCTCATCCATCCCTTTGCCTCTGGCTGGATTCTTTCTGCTGAGACATAAAGGACTGCAGCTCTCCGGAGCCCCCGGAGCACCACACGTCTGTCTCAGGGCACTTCTGGGCCCAGCTCTGTTCCCAGCGTGCCACGTGTCCCCGGGCAAGTGCTCTCCCGCCTGGCCTCAGTTTCCTCACGTGGCCCCAGGCCAGGCCGTCACTGCCGTGCTGCAATAGAACCCAGGACCACGGTGTCCACGTGCACCGAAAAGTTAAATGGATTTTGTCTGCAAGAGAAAACCGGGTGTTCTTCCCTAAGGGTCTCGGGTCCACTGTGGCTGTGAATCCCTGGACGGCGCAGGCTGAGCCTTACTTCTAGGCCCCTTTCTCCGTTTGCAGGCAGGGACCTTCCTGGAGCCTCACAGCCCGTTGGCCAACCAGGGCCGGGTCGGGAGACCAACGTCTCCTGAAGACTCTTCTCCAGAATTCCACTGGAGACGCTGGACCCGGAGGAGAGAGTCCAGGGCAAGGTCACTTGGGGCCCCATTAGAAGGCTTCGGGGTGAGACCCACGTCTAGAAAACATGCCAGCCAAGTGTCAACCAAGAGCTGCTTATTCATAGGATCAGAGGCTGCCCGGCTGTCCCTGGGACCCCTTTTCTGCAGGTGAGGGGCCCGGGATGCTGCCCCAGGACGTAAGACGGCTATACCCCACCCACGGCAAGTGGGCTGCCACCCACCTCGATGAGGTAGTCGTTGGGATCGCAGGTGCCAAAGGGTCTTTTGAAGAGGAGGTACAGGCCTTCTGGGGTCCTCTGTGCCCGCAGAAGCTGGTAATCCTGCTGGGAGTCCAGGTGGACCTGCCCCTTCTGGTCACTCCAGGCGTCCTGCAGAGACAAGGTCAGGCTTGGAGCCCAAGTGGTCAAGCCGGGGAGGAGGGGTGGTCACCCACAGCACAGCCCCCGGGCACACCCCGCCCTGGGGTTCCTGGCCTTGACACCTGACCTCAAATGCCAGCCGGGACTCACGGGGGCTGGCTCGCCATGCAGGTTCCCAGACCTCTGGGTGGGACCCAGAACCTGTATTACTCAGGAGGTGCCACGACTGGGAACGTGGGGTCCTAGACAAAGAATCCCCCTTGGTCTGGGGGGCAGGGGCCTGATAGCACATGGAGCCTTGGAGAGGGGAGATGTGGCGAACAGGGGGAGAGAGAGACGCTGGCAATGGGCACCAGCCAGAGTGAGACCATCTGAAACACTGCACCTGCCCACCTCACCCGAGTCCCAGCTTTGCCTGGAGAAGGTAAGCTGAGGCCCTGGCGCAAACAGACACACTGCCTTTCCCCAGGATGTTCAAGGGCGGGGGCTCTGGCCAGACCCTCCCCTCCCCTGCCCCCAGCTGCTTCCTGGCACCCAGCTCTAAGGCCCGGCCACCCAGGGGCTCCAGGCCAGGGCGCCAAAGACAGCCCCCAGGCCAGGCAGCTGCAAGGGAGGCCCTGCCCCGACCAGCAGGTGAGGAGCAGCACGGGACCAGCGGTCCTCGGCCTCAGATGCTTTCAAACCCTGCATTCAGGGCTGCGGCACGTTTTCTTCATTTCCTTGAGGAAAAAAAAAAAGAAACCCACGAAAGATTTTGCCAAATCGCCCCCCTGGAGAAAAGCGCCGTGACAAAGCTCCTGCTGGGGGATGCCGGGGATCTGCAGGACTCAGTTCAAACAGAAGCAGAAACTTAGCCTGTGAGCCTTCAGCTGGAAATCTAGAATGTATTTGTTGAACATATTGCTAAAGGAGGAAAAACAAGCTTGACATTTGTTTGCATAGGAATTTGTTGTGCAAATTAATCTTGCCTGTGCGGGAGGATGCGAAAGTCACCCCAGTTCTCTTGGCAGCCAGGGAAGCTGGGCCTGGGGCTCGCTGCTCCCTTGGGACCGGCTTGGAGCCGCGCTGCCCCGGTCTTCCTGGGCCGTGACCTGGAGCCACTGAGCTTCCTCGTCGGGGGAGGCGGGCGGCCTAGAGCCAGTGGCCGCCATCCCATCCGGCTGGTGGTCAGGCTCGCCCAGGCTCCTGCCTCCCCGGGACGTGGGCAAAGCTCTTTCCTGCCTGCAGAGTTGTGGTGGGGGGTGGACGGAGCACCCCCCGGGGTTCCAGAAAGATCAGCCAAGGGCGTCAGCTCGTGTGAAGCCCCTAATCCCAAGAAAGTGGAGAGGGAGAATTGTACCCACTCTGCAGATGGGGAACAGGAGGCTGGGAGGCCTCTCCTGAGCCTGGCTCACGGGTCCTGCCGGATTCCCACCCTTCACGAAATAAGAGCCCCTCTGCTCACAGATGGAGTGCCTCCTGACTTCCACACGGTTTTAGCTCTCCCGGGCCTGTTTCCCCGAGAAAGCTGGTTTGGCCCCCGGAGAGGTCAGAGTAGAGGTGCAGCAGTGCTCAGGGCAGGATGGCTGGGCTCTCCCCACCCGGGGGGCCCCTCTGCAGTCTGTCCAGGGCCCCCAAGCCCCTCTCCTCTGACGGGAGATCTCCCTGCCCCCCACCCTTTCCAGCAAGAACTGAGGGTGAGTTTGGGTTGTGGAGTGAGGTGTGCACCTCAGGGCGGATGGTCCCTTCCGGGCCGGGTGCTCGGGTCACCCACGTGAGAGGCACCATGCCCCAGGTGGGGCAGGCCAGGCCCCACACTCGGGTGCGTGTGAGCTCTGCGCGTTGTTTGTGCAGGCCAGGGGGCGGGGGCCGCCCTCCCGAGGGCGACGGGGAGGTGTGGAGAGGCTGCTTTATGTGGTGAGCGAGCCCCCATCTTGGGCTGCTGCGCTTCTTGGGCGGGCCGGGCCATCGGGGAAGCCACCTGTTGCCCATCTTGAGCTCACGTCGGCATCCGAGACGCCCAAGCTTGGGACACAGGGGTGCTCAGATACAGGGGACCGGAGAGGCGAGAGGGAGACTTTCTTTGCTGGGTCCGGGAGGGCAGAGAGGGGCAGGGGTGGGGGCGCTGGGGTGGGGAGAGGACTCACCCCGAAGTAGGCGCCGTCCCCGTCAGTCCAGAGCACCACCAGGTCGGCGTTCTCCAGCTCCCCCCGGTCCGACATCCCGAACAGGATGCCAGCCTTGAGCTCCCGCACCAGGAGCTGGAAGTAGACGGTCTCCTGCGCATAGCTGACATTCCAGGACAGCTCCAGGGTCCCCTCGGGGTCCAGGGGGATGTGGAAGGGAAAGGGGCTCTCCGTGGGGGCTGAGCCCTGCAGCGCGGCCACTAGGATGACGAGGAAGACGGCCACCGCGGTGCCGTACATGGAGGCTGCCTCGCGCGCGCTGGGGCTGGGGACCTGCATGGCTGGGTGAGCGCGGCTGCCCCACCTGGCCATTTATGTCCTGGGCCCCCCGGGGAGGTGGGCCCTGGCTGCACCGGTAATCACATTTGTCTGGTGGGGAATTCAATTGTCCCAGAGACCCTCCCACCAGCCCGGGCCCCCAGGCCAAAAGCTTTTCTGCCCTCGTTTCTCCTAATTGGCACTAATGACGCATGGACATCATCAGCGGGAATCGAAACAGACGGGCTGATTTCATTCCCTCTGAACGGTCCCCGAGAGCCATCCAGGAAGGGTTCCTCCCTGCGGGCATCCTCCGGCTGGGCACCGGGCTGACAACCAGGCTGGCTGCCGGGGCCTGTCCCCGCACGGCTGGCAGGCGGGGCCCTGCCGCCCCGTTCGTGGATGGGCAGACTGAGGCTCTGCGGGGTTATTTCCAAGGTTGTGGTGGTGGTGGTTTACTGGCGAAGTCACCTCTGACCCCTTTGTGACCCCATGGACTCTAAGCCCACCAGGCTCCTCCGTCCGTGAGATTTCTTAGGCAAGGATCCTGGAGTGGGTTGCCATTTCCTGCTCCAGGGGTTCTTCCCGGCCTAGGGATCGGACCGCGTCTCCTGCAGTGGGAGGCGGATTCTCTACCACTGAACCATAGGGAAAGCCCTTGTTCTAAAGTGACCAGCGAGAAAAGAGATCTCGCTCTTGCAGGCCCAGGGAGCCATGTCTACAACCCTGGAGGGCGGCCTAACTTCAAACTAAAAATAAGAGATGATCCCCAAATAGTCCCTGTGTTTAGACACTCTCTCCGGGCCTGCTGCTGCCACTTTTGTCTGCTCCCTGTCTCCCCACAGGCTCCAGCTGGCGCCACAGCTGCTCCCGAAGGAGTGGGTGTGCTGCTGGGGGCAGGGGCAGATGGCCCAGTGGCATGCTGGCGGTGGCGGGGGACAGGCTGCAGGTGGGTTTCTGGGGAGCCCGGACGGCAGGGGACATTGCTGGGGAGCAGACTTCTTGACGATGCCTTGCGGAGCGGTAGATTGCAGACTCTTCAGAAAGGGGTGCGAGCAACAGGCCTGCTTCCTTGTTCCCAAAGCCCCAACACCCAGTGTCGTTTAGCCTGGAGTGGACCCAGTCTGAATTCGAAGCCTCCCAGGGCAGGCAGTCTATGACAGTGTTTCTCCTGCACACACCACAGGGCCTTTGCACAGGCCCGTTGGGACTCACACTCCATTGAGCTGAAGTGTCAGTCTCTCTGCAGAGCGGCTCACCCAGTCCTTCTCTGTGCAGAGTGGGCTGGGCATGAGCTACCGGCGCTGGGAAGATCTCCCTGATTGCCTTCTGCTCTGAACTTGGCTGCCTCCTTCCAGGAACCTGACTCCCTTCTTTCTTCCTTCTCCAGTTCCTCCTCTCTCTGGCAAAACCAAGAACCTGAGCAATATCCTCAACATCCACAATATTGCCCGCAGGTATCCACAAGTCCTCAAAGAGCAACAAAGGCCAGCCTAGAGCTTGCAGCGTCTGGCCCTGCTTTTTCTCTGCACTCTGTTCTTCAGGAAGGGGTGACTGTGTCTGCCTGAAGGCAAAATCTGGAGCAAGCTCCCCTCCCAGGACCTGGTGGGTGGTGGGCTCTCCTCATGGCGGCCGGGCCACCCTGCAAACAGTGCGGGAAGAGAAAGCTGCTACAAGAGGCCCCAGGACCCCCTCCCTGACTGTACACAGGCTGGGGTGCTCCAGGACACGCTACTCACGGTGCTGACACCACAAGGCTGTTCTCGGGGCCGCCCCCCCGCCGGGCCCGTTCCCCGAGGCAGCACAGCATCAGAGTGGGGTACAGCGTGAGTGAATCCGCCAACGTGCGCACCAACTCACGAACGGGCACACGCCGCCGCCGCTGGCCTGCGTCCTGGGCCTGCGGAAAGATGCTGACGGATCACAGGCCGCGAGAGCCGGCCCCCCGGGCCCTGGAGGCCGCAGACCCTTGGCTCCAGTGACAGGACAAACCCCAGGGAAGGCCTGCAGCCTGGGGCGGTGGGCGGGCTTTCTGGAGAAGGGCAGGGACTCAGCTAGAGCCTGGAAGGACGGGGTTTCCACGGACGGGGTGGCCCCAGGGGTGCCAGGAGACGGGATCAGTCGCAAAGGCCTTTGGTCACGATCCCTTGCATGGAAGACAGGAGGGCGTAGGCCAGGGGAGGCCACCGGGCAGGCTCTGGAGGCCCCACCACTCGGGGCACTGCCTCGTCCTCTAAAATTCTGCCAAAACCCCCTCATCTGTGCTGGGGGGCAGGCGGAGAGCCTCTGAGATCACTCAGACACCCACTGACTGGACATCCACTAGCCACCTCCTCCCCTGACTAGGGAACAGCCACGGCAAGGGGATGAGACAGGCTGCTGGGGCGGGCGCCCTGCTCCCGGTGGGCACACGGACAAAGCCGGCTGGTGCAGTGAGGGCGACCGGGCTCCACGGCAGCCCTGGCTCCGGGTGAGCCTCCTGGCCAGATGGCTCTGGCCAGAAGAGAAAGAGTGGGTACTACCCCCCACCCACCCCTGACCACCTGGAGTAGCAGGACCCCCAAGGCCTCATACCCAGGGGTGGGGGCTCTGGTCTCAAGCCCGCTGCACCCCTGCCGAGTCCCGGCTGGACCTTCACACAGAAGCGCTTTCCCACCCAGATGCGCGCCTATCTGCAGCTATCAGTAGTTTATCCCTCCGCCCCCCTTCCACCTCGTGGTTCCAGGGGGACATAGAGGTGTGAAGCCTGGGAGCCAGAGCCCAGGATAGGTCAGGAGCCCTAGGTTGGGGAGAGCCCAGGCAGACGCCTCTCCTCTCTGGATGCGGTGAGAGCAACAGTTGCTTGGAGAGCCGAGGAAGCAAGGTCTGCATGGCTCTCAGTACACAGCACAGTGCTGTGCCCGCGTGTTTACTTTTAACAGTAATCGGAAGACGTTCTCTGTCTCCACTCAGAGCCGGGCTGGCATGCTGACCTCCCAGTTGTGTTTGATAAAAAGGGTTCGGCTGACTTCAGAAACGAGAATTGCCTGCACTGGTAATTAACCGGAGCTGGAAATCGTGTTCGCGGCCGTCCCTTCACCTGCTTGTTTCATTTCAGCCCCAGCAGCCATGGGCGCAGGTCTGAGACCGACCTCGGACACGAGATGATGCCCAGGAGAGGGGAGCCACGCCCCGCTGGGGGCAGGGTCTGCCTGGTGCCCCGAGCGCACTCTTGGCCAGGGGGGCTGCACTCGAGGCAGCCAAGGTCAGGGAAATTCCACTGGAGTCAGGAGGAAGGGATGCTGGGGGCAGAAATGCAAGCAGGGAGAAACGCTGAGGCGGCTCTGGGCCAGCGGGGGTGGGAGAGAGCTGGTCCAATCCGGAGGCCTCCTCCGCGATGTGCTGCTCCTTGCATTAATGGATTTTTAAAAAACAAGCAATCTGACCCGGAATAAGGAAGCAGTGCTCAGCGCTCCTACCCCGGCTGTGTCGGTGAGATGCCCAGGCGTCCTCTGGACAGCGCCCCCACCTCCCGCCCCCCGGGACGCATCGCTGGCTCCCTCTCCATGTGCTCTCAGGGTGGGATGGGGGCTCCCGCTGCCCCCTGCTTCCACTCCCGTCCCCCCCACCTGGCTCCACTCTGGCGATCGGGTGCAGTTTGCCCTCCAGAAGTGGGGGGTGGGGTGGCACCCCGGGGCGCTTCCGCCACCCTGTCAGGAATAAACACCAGTTCACCACGCAGTGCCTGGCTCTCCTCCAAAGTGCTTCAATGGCTGACCTCATTTGGAACCGATTTCGGTGTTTTAATAAGCCCTTTGCCTTCCTGCTTCTCTCTGACACTGTCATCCTTGGAGCTGTAATCCCCATGGCTTCTGCCATGTGAGGCCGGCTCCCCGACAGCCAGGCTGAAGCCAGTGGGGCCACTGAGGCCAGAGCGGGGCCTCAGCCAGACAGGCCAGGCCGGGCCACTCCCCAGTCACCCCATGGTGGCTGCAGGCGGTGCCCTCCGCCCCCCGCCCCCGGAAACTCCAGCAGTCTAGCTGATGGCAGCGTGGAAAGTGGGCTGAGAAGCGCTGATGGGGGCTGTCAGAAGCTGAGACCCACCCCACCCCCAGGGCTCCACGCAGGCCCTGCCCACCCACACGACAGCCTTGACCAGCAAGCCTGCAGGCAGCGGTCAAGACAACTGGATGACCAGCCTCTCTACCCTGGCTCAGAGGTCAGAGGCCACACCCTGAAGGTCACAGGCCCTGAAGCTCGGGACCCCAGCAGCTCAGCTGACCCACCAACCGCAGGTCAGCAGGTGCCACCCAGCCCAGGACCCTCTGATCTTCCCCCGTTCCTTAAGCCACAGCCAAGTAATGGTGACCCCAGCCTGAAGGTCAGAGGGCCCCAGGCCACCCCAGCCCCCGACCCGCTTTGAGGCAGGGTGGGTTTGGAGGTCAGATCTGAGACAGGCCTGCAGGGCTGCATCTGGCCGGCTCAGTGGAGCTCTCACCTGGCCAGAGTGCCTGCTGACACCCACGGTCCCACTGGGACACAGGCTACACGGAGCAGCCGTGTCTGCCTCCAAGGGTGCTGGGCACACGGCCTCTCTCCGCTCCGTAACTCTCGACATTCCCTTGTGGGACCGCGCGCTAACTTACAGAACCCACTCCCTCTTGGTCAGTATTCGGGCATCTGCGTGTTCACTTAAACCAGTGGTGACTACAGAGCAGTCAGTGATCACGCACATCCATCCTCGCACACTTGTGCCTGTGCTTCCTTAGGGCCAGCCCCCAGAACTAAAACTGGGGGGCCAGAGGCAGCAGGGCTTCCTCCCGGATGCCACTGCGTCCTGAGGTCCAGGAGGAGAGGCCGCTGCTAGCCGTGAGCCACCTGGCAGATACAAAACCCCTTCCCTGGAACAGAGAGCTTCTTACAGGTAAGTAGGTTTCAGCCTTGTTGATGGGCCAAACTTGCTATTGGGCCAGACAGCTGCCCTCAGGCTACAGTCAAATGCATCACATACAGAAACGCAAATCCAATAAAGCCCGAGCCTC